GACGTTGTTATTTCTACCTGACACGAATTATTCCCAAGTGATACAGATGATTACTGAAATTTATTCAGCAAATATTTAGCATCTGTTCTACGTCAGGCTTTGTTCTTAGCACTGGGACTGTATCTATAGAAGGGATAAAGTCCCTGCTCTCAGTGAGCTCATGTAGAGACAGAAAATAAACGGAAATTAAATGTAGTAATTTCAAATAGTGATAAATGGTATTAAAACTGTTAAATAGAACAATGGAATAGAGAGTATATGTGTATATTGCTGGGTAAAAGGGAGGTATACTTTCAGTTGGAAAGTCAAAGAAACTCCCCTGAGAAGGTGACTCTTGAGCTCAACCTAAATGGACAGTGGGAGCCCACCATGCAGAAATGTTGTCAAGAGCCTTCTAAGTAGTGGGGATATCAGAAGCAGAGCCACTCAATGAGCTTGTCCTATTTGAAGAAAAGGAAGTGACAGATGTGACTAGAACCTAGTGAATGCTGGGAGAAGTGGTGTGAAATGAGGATAAAGAGGAAGACTGGTGCCAATTTGTTATCTTAAAGGTTATGAATGACCTTTTGATTTTATGACTGTAAGGCAACACAGATCAAAACAACTTGGTATCAAGCTGAGTGTCAACTCTTTTTTTTTTAACCTTGGACATTTTATTCTAGCTTAATATTTTACGAATGTGTAATAGGTTGATTGATTGATTGACTTAGGAACCACACAGATGTTCTTTGCCAAACATATTTACTTATTGTGGTAATGTCTGAGGAGTTTTATACCAGCTAATAAAGTGATTTATTTGGGGAAGAAGGTGAATGAGTATAACACATGTGACAGTTTTTAGCTGTTTAAAAAACCTTTATGTTTTATTAAATGTTGTTCTAACATTTTAGGGGATTTATACATTCTTGGTTATGCTTTCTTAGCAAAAAAGTTCTAAATTATTTTTTGACTCATTAAATTTTCCAAATATTCCCTTTGAACAGAATTTTAATTTTCTTAGCTACCACATTAGTAAAATACTTACACTGGGATTCTTACCTCTACTGAGCATCTATCTCTAATTAAGGCATTGTCAAAGAAAAAAGTTAAGTGAACGTCACTTTTTTCCATTAATGGCTGAGTTCCCAGAATGATTCACATTTTAGTCTATGATATCATCCTTATTTAAGTATTTAGACAGACAAATAAACACTTACAGAAATAGCAGAATAAAATGAAAAGGGAAGTAGAAACAATTCAAAAGGATAATACTCTCATTTGAATTTCACAGTGATTGTTGTGTTTTTGATATTTTGATTTAGAATTTCACTGTGATTTTAGTGACAGTTTAACTACAATTTGGGGTTTCATTTTGTCTGACAATGACTATTTGGAAAGCACCTACTCTCATTTTCAGAGTACTTTAAGAAGCTAGCTAATTTTGAGAAGGGATTTTGGGAGGAGGAAATTTGAATGCTTTCTGCCTTCTTTCCCCTTCTAATTCCAATTTATCTACCTTGCTAGAGCCACACAGCTTCTGGGGTCAGAGTCATATGGGGTTGTGGGATAATTTAGACTCCGTAGGAGTACTAGTATAGAGTCGGTGCAAGATTTTATCTTTCCTGCACCAGTTGAGAGCCTGGATAAAGAGCAATGAAGGAGAAGCTCAGTCTGCAAAAAATAAGCCCTCCTCGCAGCTTTATGTCATAAAATGTTAATTCTCAGACAATAATGCAATATTAATTACAATTCCAAAAGGATTCTTTAAGGATAATTACTTGAAAGTATTTTAAAGTTTACTAAATTTTTTGATAAATTTCTTTGATAATGAAGAACAATAGATGCCTGAGAATAGCTAGGGCAAGTATGAAAACACAGACTAGTAGTAATGACGGTAAGGAGAGGGGTACTTACCTTACACAACTTCGAAACATGCTCTAAAACCACTGTAATATGATTAATGTGATACTAACTTAATAGATAAATAGATTAGTGGAACAAAATAGATCCGTTCTTAACAAAAGCACTTCATCTTAATCACAAGACATGGAAAATTGTTTGAGTGACTGTTTACCCGCCGCAAGTAAGATACAGATCTAGTACGATTCTAGACTTTTAGAGGGAAGTCAGTTCATTATATATAGCATATGTCTTAGGTCTTAGGCCTTAATTCTCTCACAGAAACCAGGTTTAAGGAGACTAAATAATGCAGAACTATTATGTGGCAAAGCTAAAATTTCACTGTTCTCTGAGAAAGGTGTCTTCCTCCCTCCCTCCCTTTCTCTGTCTTTCTTTTAATAGCACAAGCACAATTGACTATCCTATGGGATAAATGAATTTGAATCCTTAGGTTACCCCATGTATGAAATACCCCCAAAATTCAAGGCTTAAATGTAAAACTGAAAACAAAAATCTTAAAAGAAAATCTGGGCTTCCATATATAAAAACATGTATGGATTGCCAGGAGCTTCCTAAGCAAATCTGGAGACCCAGAAATTTAATTTTTTTAAACGACATTATGTCAAATGTAGAGCCCTTTATCCAGACCAAAAAAAAAAAAAAAAAAAAAAAACCCTTAAATATGTAATAACAATATTAATATTCAAAATAGACTTGGAAGAAAATACTTGAAAGAAATGTAACAAATATTTGTTAATAATAGACAAAATACTCTTTTAAACAAGAGAAAAAATGAAACCCCAATAAGAAAAAAAAAACAGCAAATGACATCAATCAGCATTTCCACTTGTGTGGAGTTTTAGAACAGGCAAAAGAAATCAATATTGATAGACTCAGTTAGTTGCCTGGGAAGTTTACAGGAGTTGCTTGTGAAGGAGCATGATGGAATTTTTCAAGGAAAAGGAATGTTCTGTATCATTGTGGTGATTGCATTGTAAAAAGTAACTGAACTATATGCTTAAACTGTGTGTAGTTCAATATAGTTTAAATATACATGTAAATTATACCTCAATAAAGTTGATTTTAAAACTTCAGTTGATACTCTTAAATGGTTAACATTTTAATATATGTCAGTACCTACTGCTATTATTTCTCTGGGCAAAAGGACATTTCACTACCTTTCTTGTAGAAAGGTGAATTTTTACAACTTTTATGTAAGCAACTTTGAGACATCTATTAAGACAAAAATTGTACCTTTTAATCCAAGCTCTTTCTTGACTTCCATAGGAATAAAAGTTCCAGTAGATAAAAACATGCGTGTATAAGTTTAATGAAGCATTGTTTTTAGTGACTAAAAGCTATGTACCAAATTAATGCCCATTAGTTGGGGAATGGCTGATTAAATTGTGGAATATCCTTATCATAGGGTATAATATAGCCATTAAAAGGGTAAGTTAGCATTATATCTGATGGGAGGATTTCCATGAGAAAGTGTTGAAGAAACAAAGCATGATGTACATAAGAGAATCAGATAGGCTACTTTATTCTTGAAAAGCAAATAGTGCTCCAAGAAATAACCTGTAAATATGCATGTTTATAATGTGTAAGAAAAACATTGAAGAATACATTTCAGATTATTTACACCATTTACCGAATATAAAGAACAAGATGTGTGAGGGAGTTGGAGAGAAGAGCAGGAATGGAGAGATGGGTAAAAAATGAATAAGATTTATATTAAAAACATCTAAACAATGTATATATGTATATATATAATCTCATATCTTAAACATTTCATTTATCTGCATAAGCTTAGGGAAAACATTAAGTTTTTATGTACTGACTTTCAGAGGTTTTAATCATATCTGCTTAAATTTTTTAGAAAACATGTTACAAAGTAATGTTTATATGATTCTATTTGAGTAAATAAAAGATACCCTGTATATGAATTTTTGTTAAATTTTAGTCAGCACAACTTTCTTGTTTGCAGGTTTCTTCTTCAGTTTCCCTGAGAAACTTTCCAAATATTCCAAGGAGCTTGACGCCCAAGCTCCTTAAGTGGATGTCCATTTATTTTGGAATGTTATGATCAATCTAGAAAAATAGTGTAATTCTGTTCCCTTCCAGTACCACCCATGAGTCCTAAAGATTATATGCATCCCAAGGCCAATGACAATTGAATATTTCTAGCTCCTTGGATTTGCCGAGGTTTTACTTCTGTTTTTCACTAGAGAAGAAGTACAAAAGCATGTTCAGGTCTCACCTGTTGTCTTTTATCCCTCTATTTTTCTTTCTCAATTTAGCTGCACATTTTTTATGCTTTTACTGTCACCTACTTTGGTGGGTGACAGCATACAGCTAAATTTGAGATGGCAAAGTAGTGCATGTATTGGTATGGGAAGAATCCTGTATCTGTGTTCATCAAAGGGAAATGTTACTTGTCATTGGTTTAGAGTTCTTTAAAATTACTACAGGTACTTTTGTCACTGGTTATGTTTTCTGTGGCACTCTATTTTTCATTATTACATGAGGAGAAAGCAGGGCATGCCAAGGGATAACCATTATCTTTTGTACAACTCTTCTCTTGTACAAATGTTTGGAAAACTTTTGTTCTCTGTGTTTTTCTACTGTATCCCTTGTGCCTCTCTGTTTGCCCACAGAAATCTCTGAGATTTTTTTTGTTCACCTTTTATTTATGTCTACAAACATAGTACTTGAACACAGGACCCCCTTTACTCCATTACAACCTGGAATATCTTGATAGTGTGTATGTCTGTGCATGTAAGTGTGTGTATTAAAAAAAAAATCAACATAGTATTCCAGAGCATGAATATACAATGAATGGGTTAAGATTCACTGGTACTGTAACTGTTCTACCTCTTAAAAGATGGAGGGAGTAAGTAAAGATGATACAAACTGACATTAGTAAATTTTAATGGATTAAATATAAGTATAGGATAGTTAATGCAGTGTATATGGCAGTATTTTTAATATGCATTGAATGTATAAAACTTAGAGGAAATTGAAATCATTTATTCAAAACACTAATATTTTGGGAATTAAAGCATCCATTTTCATATTCCCTTTTCCTTTCTTCTCTTTTTTGGGGGGCGGTTGTTAAATAGATCCTATACTCCTATGAAAGGAGGAATCTCCAATTTATGGTTTGACAGATTTAAAATATCCAATGACTGCCCAGAACACCTTGACTCAATTGATGGCATGTGTCAAGTGCTTACTGATTTGATTGATGATGAAGTAAAAAGTGGCATCAAGAAGAACAGGATATTAATAGGTAAGACTTTTAAATGTTGGTAATTTATAGCTCTTTTCACTTTTGTCTAATTCTATACATCAAATCTTACTTATTATTATTATTTATTTTATTTTATTCTTTGAGACGGAGCCTCGCACTGTTGCCTGGGCTGAAGTGCAGAGGCACGATCTCGGCTCACTGCAATCTCTGCCTCCTGGGTTCAAGTGGTTCTCCTGCCTTAGCCTCCCAGGCAGCTGGAACTACAGGCGTCTGCCACCACACACCCAGCTAATTTTTTATATATATTTTTTAGTAGAGACAGGGTTTCACTATATTAGCTAGGCTAGCCTCAAGCTCCGGACCTCATGATCCACCTGTCTCAGCCTCCCAAAGTGCTGGGATTATACAGGTAAGCCACTGCGCCCGGCCTGGAACATTATTTAGAAGCACTTGTATATCATTTGATGCATTCATAGTTTCAGATAAACTTTACATATTGAGGATTTCAAAGATATTAGAATTATAAACAACAACTCATAAAACTTTTAATTGATTTTCTTTTTGAGTAATAACAAATTTTGAGAATCTTGTGGCAGTTAAAATTTTCCTTCTAGTTTAATTTTCAGTTAAGAGATTATTTAAATTTTTAAAACATGTTACTTCTATTACCTTAAGTCTTACAAGTTTAAACATCTATTGCCATTATTAAGATATACAGTCAAAATATACCATTAAATTTGTGAAAATTATAATCTTCAGAGTTAATCTCACAAGAATAAAGTATTAATCTCACAAGAATATTTATAAGTTTTCCTTAAACTTGTCTTTAGCAAGCCCTGTTTTTAAGGGAGTAAAAATAACTTTATATAGGCTCTTTATTCTGCTTAATACCTTTGTTTGGTTTCTGTACTCAGCATATACATAAATTATTAAAATCTCTTTTTCAAATACATACAAAAGTGAGATTGAACATGTAGAATGTGAATGGTACAGGACATATTTTGGTGAAAGGGTTTTATTTCCAAATGTAACTATTTAACTTATAATGAATTATATTTAATTATGAAATTAAAAAGCAAATTAAGTATTATGTTCAAAATAACATTAAAATGTACATTGAAATTCTTTATAGATGAGATATGAGTAAATGAATAAACTTTTTTTGTGTTTATTGAAATACTGTCTGTTGAGTTATTAGAGACAGCATGATATAATTGATAAAATCCATTCTATTCTGTCTTGGTTTTAGTTTCTGCTTAATTAAAAGCAGTGTGGCCTCTAGCACAGTCATATCACCTTTCTGGTCCTTAGTTTCCTCATTATGTTTAACTCTATATTTCTGTGTTTCTATATGTTTCTGTGTTTAACGTTGATATTTAACTCTACTAGAGATAATTTGGAGCATTATGAGAGGACTAGGAAGAGTATAGGGAAGGGAAGCCTGACTAGTCTAGGGGATTATGAAGTAGTTAGAAGATAGAATTCAAAATATGTGAATCATATATCGTTCAGTTATCATTCAATCTTTAGAAAATACTTTTTAAGTCTCCATTATGTGCCATGCAATATTATAGGTATTCAGAGGGACACAGAGATAAATAAAACAAGAACTATCTGCTTTACATATTTCTTACAACTGGAAGGGCCAATGAGGTTCTTAAAGTGGTAACTGTAATGCCAGCCAGGCTATGATGAGTACTCTAATGTGGTATAACTAATAGCTTTTCAAAGCAAATGATAGTGTATATTTCTTTTTATTTCCAAGGACCTATCACAATGCCTGGCACAGAGCAAATACTCAGGAAATCTGCGATGAATAGCATGACCTGTTAGGTAAATTGTCAGTTAGTACCATAGGAATTCAGAGGAAGAAGTAGTCATGCATTTGGGCCTCTAAGAGAAAGATTTAATAGAAAGATAGCAGTGCCATTTAAGATGTGGTGGCATTTAAGATGCACAAATTATTAAAATTTTAATTATTATAGTGTAGAAGTCTAGGTATAGGGAATGATATGAACAGTAAAATAGAAGTAGACAAAGTAATGCTTGTTGTCTTTGTCTGTCTGGACATTAGTTTGCTGACACAAAGTTTGTGTCCAACTAGAAAGTACTTGTTGACTCTGATAACCACAGTAAGAGACTAGAACATGATGGCATAATGGTGACAAAAATGGGTTCAAATCTAAAGTCCACCGCTTCCTAATTGGCTCACCACTTATTACCTACACTTAATTTTGCTACCTAATCTGTAAAGTGGAAATAATAACATGTCTGTTTACTGAGAGATGAGCAAAATAATTGGTTTATTCTAGACTCTCAGTAAATGCTCTCTTCAGTTTTTATCCTTTATTCTGTAGGTATAATAGCATATGTAATTGGTAAAGGATCATTAAATAATGTCTTCGAGTCATAGTTAATTAGAATTGTACTTTGAAAACTTAATTTGGCAGAAGGGTTAACTAAAAGGATGAGAAGTGTGAAACGGGGAAACTAGTTTAATAAAATGAAAGTCTGAAGTGGTATGGTGGCAATAGGAAAAGGAAAGATTAGGATAAGAAATGGCTAAAAAATAAAATTATGCAGTCTTCATAAGCAAAAAATAAAGGAGAAAATATTCTAAGTAGTACTTTTAATGAGTGTGTATTGAAGAGTTTATCACACTGAATGGTAATTGCTGTCCATTTGTCTCTTGCCCATCATCCTTCTTCCTTCCCTGGATCCATTATTTTATCTAGTTCATTTTTCAGTACCAGAGATACTATGCATTTTTCTGCAATATATTATGTTTTAAAAACTCCTAGTATAACGGAATCAAATATTTAAAAAAAATTAGTTTTAAGTTCCAGGATACATGTGCAGGATGTGCAGGTTTGTTATATAAGTAAACAAGTGCCATGGTTGTTTTCTGCACCTGTCGACCCATCACCTGGTTATTAAGCCCAGCATGCATTGGCTATTTATCCTGACTCCTCCTCACCACCTCCCTGCCAGGCCCCAGTGTGTGTTGTTCCCCTCTGTGTGTCCATGTGTTCTCATGGTTCAGCTCCCAACATGCAGTGTTTGGTTTTCTGTTTCTTTGTTAGTTTGCTGAGGATAATGGCTTCCACCTCCATCCTTGTCCCTGTGAAGGACATGATCTCTTTCCTTTTTATGGCTGCATAGTATTCTTGTATATGTACCACATTTTCTTTACCCAGTCTATCATTGATAGATATTTGGGTTGATTCCATGTCTTTGCTATTGTGAATAGTGTTGCAATGGACATATGTGTGCCTGTATCTTTATAATAGAATGATTTATATTTTGGGGGGTATATACCCAGTAATGAAATTGCCGGGTCAAATGGTATTTCTGGTTCTAGGTCTTTGGTGAATTGCCGCACTGTCTTCCGTATTGGTTGAACTAATTTACATTCTCACCAACAGTGTAAAAGTGTTTCTATTTCTCTACACCCTCACCAGCATCTGTTTCTTGAATTTTTAATAATTGCCACTCTGACTGGCATGAGATGGTATCTCATTGTGATTTTTATTTGCATTTCTCTAATGTTAAGTGATGTTGAGCTTTTTTTTAAATCCATAGATATATGTTTTTTGGCTCTATAAATGTCTTTTTTGAGAAATGCCTGAAGAGTCATTTATGACAAACCCACAGCCAATATCATACTGAATGGACAAAAACTGGAAGCATTCCCCTTGAAATCCAGTGTAAGACAAGGATACTGTCTCTTACCACTTCTATTCAACATAGTATTGGAAGTTCTGGCCAGGGCAATCAGGCAAGAGAAAGAAATAAAGTGTATTGAAATAGGAAGAGAATAAGTCAAACTGTTTCTGTTTGCAAATGACATGATCCTTTATTTAGAAAACTCGATCGTTTCAGCCCCAAAGCTTCTTAAGCCAATAAGTAACTTCAGCAAAGTCTCAGAATACAAAATCAATATGTAAAAATCACAAGCATTCCCGTATATCAGCAAGAGACAAGCAGAGAGCCAAATCATGAATAGACTCCCATGCACATTTGCTACAAAGAGAATAAAATACTTAGGAATACAAAGCACCTCTTAAGGGAGAACTACAAACCACTGCTCAAGGAAATAAGACAGGACACAAACAAATGGAAAAACATTCTTTGCTTATGGATAGGAAGAATCAATATCGTGAAAATGGCCATACTGCCCAAAGTAATTTAGATTCAGTGCTATGTCCATTAAACTACACTGACATTCTTAACAGAATTAGAAAAAAAACTACTTTAAAATTCATGTGGAACCAAGAGCCCATATAGCCAAGACAATCCTAAGCAAAAAGAACAGAGTTGGAGACATCATGCTACCAAACTTCAAACTCTACTATAAGGCAGCAGTAACCAAAACAGCATGGTACTGGGAGAAAAACAGACATATAGATCAACGGAATAGAACAGAGATCTCAGAAATAAGACCGCACATCTACAACCATCTGATCTTCAACAAACCTGACAAAAACAAGTCTTGAGGAAAGGATTCTCTATTTAATAAATGGTACTGGGTAAACTGGCTAGCCATGTGCAGAAAAATTGAAATTGGACCCCTTCCTTATGCCTTATACAAAAATCAACCCACAATGGATTAAAGGCTGAAATGTAAAACTCAAAATTATAAAAACATAGAAGTAAATCTAGGTAATACCATTCGCAACATAGACACAGGCAAAGATTTCATGATGGCAACATCAAAAGCAATTGCAGCAAAAGCAGAAGTTGACAAATGGTATCTAATTAAAGAGCTTCTGCACAGCAAAAGAAACTGTCATCAGAGTGAACAGACAACCTATAGAATGGGAGAAAATTTTTGTAATCTATCTGTCTGACAAAGGTCTAATATCCAGAATCTACAAGGAACGTAAACAAATTTACAAGAAAAAAAATAACCCCATTAAAAAGTGGGTATAGGACATGAACAGACACTTTTCAAAGCAGAAACAAATCTTAAATTAAGTTAAATACACAAACAAATATAGTAGCAAGAAAGGTTACCTGTTTGAGCACCTATATTTTCT